TGAATACTTAAGAAATAGAGTAATGTACAGTAAATTTGTGTGGTTTTCATATAATAAATTAAATATAAGTAGAACTATATTCACTTATGCTTTCTTTATCATACATTTAAAAATGTCTCATAACATTACTTCTATTTCCTTTTTCCGTTTAAGACGATTTTGATATTAAATATAAGAAAAAAAGTACCATAGTATTTTAATTTATAATTAATATTAACTCTTGATTATCCTCTTCTAATTGTAATATAAATGCACAATGTAACAATATCACAACATTACACAAAGGTAAGAATATACTTTCTGATCATCTTTTTATCTGTCTATAATATGGAAGCACATAGAATATAGCCATTGTACGATTTAACTTTTACAGCATCCATATAAGACATTAATAACATTAAGTATGAAGTGAAGTACATGTAAAAACATAGAATTGCGTATTTTGTTATTGTAAATAGTATATAACTTAAGTTTGAGATTCAAATTGTCACTTTTTTTTACACTTTGTAAAAAAAATGATTATTTATTGTATTCAATGTCTTTAGATTACGTGAACATTAGCAACGAAATAGGCTGTTACTTCATTTGAAAGTTTAAATTTTGCAAAGGTAACTAACATGTTTTCTTAACAAGTATGTTGCTTTGAGAATTATCAACTATACATTGGCAGTGTTTTTCTCCAATTTATGATAATTAATTGTAGACCAATTTGATTCTCTAACTTTAAGTTGTTTAAAATATGTAAGATATATAATAAATACCATTCAAAGTAAATAAAGTGGTATGAAATTATTATGATGAGGTATGATTTTATTATTAAATGTTTAGAACATGAAATTGAAAAGAATCTACCATTGCTGACAGATACACCTATGATCCATAACTTTTCAGAAAAATACAATATTAGATTATTTCTTAGTGTTTGTTACTCCAGGTATGCAATCCTATTTTCAAAAACATAAATTCTAGAACATGAACTCACAATCTTTTTTAATATATTTGTGTGTTTTCCTATCTACTATACCTTATGGTCTAATAAGCCTTTATAAGAATATTAGTAAATGTATTGTTACAAATAAAATGAAGCATCTGTACTTAAGGTTGAGTGAGAAATAATATATAAAAATATAAAAGTGAAGAATAATTTTATTATTAACTTAATTTTGTAATACCATTTTCATTTTATAAAATCTCCACTTTCGTATTACTTTTAATTTTTCTATATCACAACCCTAATCTTCCTATATAAGAAAGTAACACTGTTCTTTATTATACTATTGACAATTTAATGAATAAACTATAGTATTAACTGTTTAATTTAATCAATAAATTGTAGTGTTTTATAACTGTAAATATCAAATGTATTTTAATTAACTTTTCCTGTACATGTAAAGAATTGATTAAAATTAGCTAGAATATTTGTAAATTGATGTACTCAAGTATTGATTTTTAAAACATGTGCTGTTCTATTTCTTTATAATTAAGCAAAATTTTACTTTCGTTGCATGTTATTACTTTATATAACCACTTTCATAAAAAACTGCATATGTAGTGAACTAATCAATGATTTGTAATGCTAACAGGAGTTATGGCTTAGTAGGAAATTTGTGAATATATATATTCACAAGAGCTTCTAAGTACAAAGTAGTAAATGATATAAGAAAACAAAGTTTACTGATGTTTAAAGCTAGCTAATTAAAAGATTAATATTACAGGAAGTACGTAGAATTCTTAAAAATTAAGTAAATGTCATATGAAAGAAAATTAGCTTTGCTTTTCTTACTGGTACTTTATATTTAGCTGCTCAAAAAATATGAAAGAATTTTAAACTTTCATTAATAGTATTTTAATATTACAGTCATAACATTTATAGCACACAAATATAATCATAATGAAAATAGGATATTGTTTCAGATTAGATACTAGTGTATTAAGTTATCATTTTTATATCATTTTCACAATTTTGTTTTTTCATATTTCAAAAATGAAATATATTTGAAGAAAGATATATGAAATAAATATCTACACAATAAAAAAAACATACTTATAACACTGTTGTAAACCAATTTCTTAATTTAATTTATACTAAAATTTAAATTTAAAACTTATTCATTTCATTAATGAACAATGATTTTGCATCATTAGTTACTACATATGTACTTACAAGCTTATAGATTTTTTAATGACACAGTATTACTACCTGGAGTAACTTACAAGAGTTAGGAAAACTAACCCTGTGCTATAGACAGATTTTTAAATGTTTGTCCATTCCAAGCAACTGAGATGCAATAATGTTGCAGTAACTGAACTAAAAGTTCCCGTTCATCCAACATTTCTATGTGTTCGATTCGACGACGGTCATCTTGAGGCAGTGAATCATAAACCTCTACCATTGTCCATGCATTAGAGCCTTCCCAATTGTTTATTGTAAAGCTGAAACACATAATTATGCATTATGTTCCTAATGAAACATTTATTGCTTCCAGTATAATAGATGAGAAAAGGATAAAAAATATGTATGTACCGTCTTTGTTGAGTTTCCAAAGATTCACAATCTTCTACACCTGCTAATAAACATCCACGACTACGTAAATTGGACAACATAACTTGACCAAATTTATCCTTCATGTTCACTTGCTCGTAATTAACAAAAATACTGTTTGGAAATTTTCCAGCAAGCCATTTTAACAATGCAGAAGCTGCACTAGTGTCTACATACACTAAGACACATTCTGTAAGGAACATGGTTGGGAGATTAAAATTAACTTCTGCTTGTGTTAATTTATTAGTAAGTTCAGATATGTGCCGCAGATCTATTCCCACCAAATGATAGTTGGCAGCATGCAGATCTGTTGTTGAAAACCTAATTTCTCCATCTGTAATGAAGACATCAACTAAGAAAGTCTATCTACATAAAAGTACATAGAAAATTGTTGAACATAAAACTCTACCTTCTGTATTTAACATATCTATTAATTGTTTGTGTTTTTTGATGTGATAACATTTTCTAGCAGTAATGCTAGGAAAATCAAGTTCTATAAAATTTGCTGGACATTTTCCTGCTTCCTTAAGTCTCCAATAAAGTGTATCAAATCCAGCACCCAAATTTATAACTTGTCCTTTTCCACCAGATAGCTATATTTGTCATAAATTAATTTTGTCTTTGTGTGATATATAAATTTATTTATTTAAGTATACATATATGATAATTTTAATTATATAACATAAATAATTCATACAATCAAATTTCATCTCATTGTAACATCTACAATTTTTATTTTACACACATTAACAATTTGAAATAGGAATAAATGATAATGTGCATACCTTGTCTTTAATTCGAATTAATTATCATTGTTAAAATAGGGGAACAAAATTACTTTCAATTTTTATTAAAAAAAGTCCAAACATCATTTAACAATTATAATTATATTTTTAATTGGTTGTTATTTTCATACAAAAAGTGCAATATCTATGTGAGATTAACCTATTTTACTGTTCCATGATAAAAGGGGACTTCGGAAATTAGGACAGGGCCTCGGCCAGGTCAAGGTTTCCGGCATTGCACGTCCTTTGCTACTCAAATCAGCTGTATCCCGGATTGTGTCTATCATGTTCTAGGTTATGCCAATTTTGAAGTTGCAATTGTGAAATTTGGAAAAACTAGCTAGTACGTACTTTGATAAATTTGTCAATGAACACCTCGATGCCCTTCACTCTCGCGTAGTAACCGCGATTGATTTCAGGTGCTTTTCGTCCAGTTTGTTTTACGAAAAAGTTGATAAATGGATCAGACCAATAACCAAGTTGCACCGCATATCTTTTACACTCACTCGCATCGTCATTAGTGGCCTGTATGGCCTCATCATCAGCCATATCTTTGATCATTACACCAAATTCAGTTCACTTCAGTTATGATAAATCATTATTTCGCGTTTTCTTAATTCGGAAACCGTTACTTGTCACTCATGGAAAACTGTACAAACGCCATACTGTTTGAGACTGTGTAGGAAATGCTGTAGCTCGCATCTACTTGCAGCGCGAGCTTGCGCCTCTGTGCGAATTATTTGGCAGTAGGGGTATCCTTTAACCATCATCTTATGTCGGCACGTATTGCATGTGAATAAAATATTCACGCATTTTGTTGTTATTCGTTAACATTGCTAATTTCTTTTACTTAGAATTTTTAATAATGTTGATAATTATACGTGAATTAAATTGATTTGTAAAAATTTTTTCTAAAGCAACATTTAAAAAAGAACATGTTCCATGTAAATATTGAAGAATCAATAACTATAACTAATATTGTATAAAGTACGAAATTGCGAAAAATATAAAAGGAATTTTTATTTTTTCTAAATATCTTTTTATGTTGGGTACTAAATGAAAAAAATATCTAATGCTATGTCTAAATATTTATTTGTAACCATAAATATTAAATAAGTCAGTAAAGGATAATTTGAGTGGTATATTATAAGGAAGTACAGATTTTATTTGTAAAATAAAATTTTTTTTACAAATTAAAATGGATTGTCTTCAAACGGGTAATAAATAAGACTATGCACATTTTGATCTTAATGAATGTATTCAAACAGAATGTCTGACACTTGTTTAAATTAAAAGTTAATGTGATGATAGTATGATTGCATACTATGTATGTGTATATATGTATAAGTACACAAAGATACAAATTGATACATATAAAATGTATAAATGTTAATTATTCTTTATAATATATCTTCA